AACGGAACAGAAAACATTAATTTGTTCATTTAATTGTTTTTTCCAAAACGTGTTTCGAAAATTTCGCACGGTTTATAAAACATAAAAGAATTACTATAAAAACCACATGTTTTCATAGTAATAAATGTTGTTTTAGCCTTAACAATCTGTTCTAAAGTAATTGCAGTTTTAGGAATTGATAGTGACTTCAAATCTTGAGTTCAGAAACCACAAATTTTAAGAGAGAAATTGGAAGTCCATAAGAGCTATTAATAAGAAAGAGAATCATGAAACATTACAGACACATGTGAATAGATTTGTGAGAAATAACATAAGACAGCGAAAAAAACACAACAAGAAACTGTCAACAAACGAACAATAAACGCAACGAAAAGGGTAAAAACATTACCGTCCAACAGACATGCTCAACATCAGCCTCATGAAAAACAGCCTCCACGCTCAAATGCTTCGAAACCCTCCTGGAGGAGGCGAAGAGGATGTCATCTTATCAAGCCACCCATCAAAGCGGACATCAAGTTTCCCAGGTTTCTTCCATGGGATTGTGACCCTGGAAGTGGGGAATGGTGCGCTCGATTTTGAACAGGCAGAAGCAATCCCCTGGCTAGACTTGTTCACTGGTGGAGGTTCTGCAAGAACAGGGGAAGCGGTTGCGAATTCAATTCCATTGGTGTCAAACACTTGCAAATATGTCTCTATCAATCTTTTTTTCCTTCTTTCAGTGGCAAATTTTCTAGCAAACTAAGATTTTTTTTGTTTATCCAACTCGTTTATCAATGAAAAACCACCTTTTCAATGTCTTCTTATCACTGCAGCTGGTTGAACAGTCCATGAAGCAAGCCATTGTTGATCAATGAATCTAAGTTCCCATCACATAAGAAAGAAAATTAAAACATTGGCTTGTGACAATGCAAAGATGGGGGAGAAAGGATCAACAAAAAACACAGTTTATATACTGGGTATCAAGTAGTAGTGAGAACTCATATTAAGACTTGAGAAGTTTAGCATCCAATACAAGGCCTTATATACTGGTTTTGTATCCAAGAAAATGACTCGGCAAATAACATATCACGTGTAAGCCCATGAATCAGCATTAAAGAGGAGTCCGTTTTAGTGAACTCATAATACTGTCCGTGCAACATTCGTGCAACGTTTGTGCAATGTTTGTGCAACATCATAGCACATACTTTCATAGACATCACATAGGCAGGCAATGTCTGTGGGAACAAGAATTAATGCCCGGAGAGAACCCATCCAAGCCAAACAACAAAAGCCCAAAACTAAAAGGGAAAAAGAACAGAGCCTTGAAAATAATTGGAAATATTAATTTGTTCATTTATTTTTTTTTCAAAATATGTTTCTGAATTTCATTCGGTTTATTAAAAATAAAAAATTTCTATAAAAAACCACGTGTTTACATAGTAATAGATGTTTTAGCCTTAAAAATCTGTTCCAAAATAATTTCCGTTTTAGGAATTGATAATAACTTCAAACCTTGAGTTCAGAAACCACAAATTTTGAGAGAGAAATTGGAAGTTCATAGGAACAATTAATGAGAAAAAGAATCATGAGACATTATAGAGACGTGTAGATATATTTGTGTGAAATAACGTAAAACGTCATTTATTTTGCCACAAATTGGACAATATGTGTTAAAAACAGATCTATAGAACTAGTTTATTTTAGGAAATTCAACCTTAACAAAGAAGATTAAGAAACCGTCAGCAAACAAAACAGAATAGAAAGGGTAAAAACATTACCATTCAACAGCCTCATCACCCGTCAAAGCGGATATCATCAAGTTGTGCTCAACTGTGAACAAGGAAATGCCGCAGTCCTAGTCTAGACTTGTTCAGTGGTGGAAGCCTGGAAGGTCAGCAAGAACAGGAGAAGCAGTTGCCGAATTCAACTCCACCGGAGCCAACGACTTTCTAATATTTCTCTAGCAATCTGTTTTTTCCTTCTTTCAATGGAAAATCTTCTAGCAAACTAAGATTATTTTTCTTTAGCCAACTCTTTTATCAATTAAAAACCACCTTTTCAATGTCTTCTTATCATTGCAGCTGGTTGAACAGTCCATGAAGCAAATGTTCTGAGAAAACTGTCAAAACAAAACACAATGCATCATCAATTCTAGTGCGATTGATCTCCTGATCAACACAAACATTAATCAAACGAATTGATATGGTACCTCATCTCCAATGGCACACCGCTTTTAAACGAAGCAAGCCATTGTGGTTCAATAAATCTAAGTTCCCATCACATAAGAAAGAAAGAAAATTAAAATCTTGAGTTGTGATGGGGGAGAGGATCAATAAAAACACACTTTTTATATCAAGAACTAGTGAGCATTCATGTTTAACTTGAGAAGTTTTGCATCCAATACAAGGCCTTATACTGGTTTTGTATCCAAGAAAATGACTCAGCAAATAACATGAGTACCACATGTAAGCCGATGAATCTTTGATAACAAAAAAGGTAATACATTTGATATCAGTGTTTTTTTCCAGTTCATGAAAGGAATAAAAACAGAATCTTGAAGGTAATTGAAAATAGCAGTTTGTTCATTTAATTGTTTTTCAAAAGAGATTTTCGGATTTCACACAGTTTATAAAACATAAAGTTTTTCTATAAAAAAACAGTGTGTATTCGTAGTAATACATGTTGTTTTAGACTTATGAAATATGTTAAAAATAATTGCCATTTTAGGAATTGATATACCTTCATATCTTGAGTTCAAAAACCACATATTTTGAGAGAGAAATTGGAAGTTCCTGAGAATTACTAATAAGAAAGAGAAGCACGGGACCTTACAGACACGCGTAGATAGATTTGTGTGAAACATTGTAAAACGACAAGTATTTTGCAACGAATCAGGAAGTATCGAAAACAGATCTATCAACTGGCTCATTATAGAATTTGGAACACAACAAAGACAATTATTGCAAACGAAGAGCACAAAACAAAAAAAAAACTGTCAAGAAACAAACCATATACAGAACAAAGAACGTAAAAATATTACCATCCAACGGACATACTCAACATCAGCCTCAACAAAAATGGCCTCAACGCTCAAATCCTCTTGCAAGGAGGTGAAGAGGATATCATCTTATCAAGCCACCCATTAAACCGGACATCATCAAGTTTCCCAGGTTTCTTCCTTGTGATTGTGATCATGGAAGTGGCGAATGGTGTGCTCGATTTTGAACAAGCAGAAGGAATCTAATACAAGAACTAATGAGCAATCTTATTAAGACTTGAGAAGTTTAGCATCCAAAAAAACATATCACACTTAAGCCCATGAATCAGCATTAAAGATGAGTCCATTTTAACTGTGAACTGAGAATGACGCGTAATAATATCATACCTCCCACATCCAGATTAAAAATCGGCTGAGTTAAAGACGCAGAAAAAAGCTGTGTTAAAGAGGCATTTCAACAAACAGTGAAGCATTCTCCGTGCAATGTTCGTGCAATGTTTGGGCGACATCTCACACTCTTTAGTAAACATCACATACGCAATCCATGTCTGTGGGAACAAAAAGTATTGCCCAGAGAGAACCCATTCAAGCCAAACAACAAAATCCCAAAACAAAATTCAATCCGTTTTAATATTATTTATGCAATATAATAACAGCAAACAGAAACAAAAAGGTGAGATCTTTGAGCATTCTTCACTGCTTTGGAAGAAACCCCGGAGAGGACCAGGCAAAAAGCCGGTTACTTTTCATGCTTGCAATGCAGGAAAAGGGATCGGAATGATGAAAAATCTAAACAGCATTGCGTGAAAAAAAGGGGAATACCTTTCGATCTGGAGCTGAATCGCCCACCGGAAAGCCCTAACATAGCAATGAACAATTGTTCAATCTATATTTTTGGCAGATCATCTTCTATACCAGCGTTCTCCTTCTATTCAAATACTTTTTAAAAATAAAAAAATTTAAATTAAATCTCAACTAGACTTTTTGCCTTATGAGTATGAATGTCATGAAGATATGGTGAATTTCTTTAATACGCTAGCTCAATTATTAATCATTTTATTCACTTATTGAAGTACATAAATAATAACTGTGTATGTTGTGATCACGTCGTCAAGGTGAGACACCAAGTCCAGCTCTTCAAGAAAGAAGGTCCATCCTAACTTAAACGAAGTCTAATGAATCCCAGCACCTCTTGGAAAGAAAAGATATTTGTTGCTTTAACATTTCACTTCGATTAGGTCTAACTACATTTAAATATCACAATCAAAGCGAATAAGGAAAATACTCAATTTACGGTAAAAATTCAAAAAATAGACAAACACTCCAAATGGAAGTACTACAGAGTGTATATCTCTTTTTAATTTTTTATTTTTGTTGAAATTCGAAACATTTTTCTCAACCGTTATTATTTTTGGGTTGTAGGAATATTTTTTCAAATTAATTTTTCACGCTTGCAAAATTAAAGCTCGTGTCAAACAGTCGATTGCCTTGATATAACAAACTATTATAGTTCAAAAGCCTGAAAATGCATTGAAGTTGAATTAGCTAGATAATTGATTGTTTAGGTTAGACAATTGTTTGTCAACTAGCCGTTAATCAATCGACAATGGTCAAAATTTAAATGAAAATTGCTTGTAAAAAATTGATTAAATCCATCAAATTTACAAATAGTAATTGATCTATTTGACTTATTTTAAAATAAATTTGAATGATGGCAACAAAAAATCAAAAATCCGAAAAATAACTTTGGTCAATGTTAACCCGTCGCGTCAAATCTAATCCGACCCGTTCTAACACGAAAATTTAACAGATCTTCAAGTTTGGGTCATCTCGGTTTGGAGTCGCAAAATCGATGTTCAAAATCTGCTAATTTCTGATCGGATTTTGGGTTAATAACGGGTCGAGTCAAAATTACTCCGTGATAGATTTTATCCGTAACTTTCCGTATAAATTTTTACCGAGCTTAAGAGAAAATCTGATTGAGATTTATACAAAGACTATTGAAATAATACACCACTGAAGTTTAAAGACTTAAATTTTATTTTGAGACAAACAAAAAATATGAGAAATTTACTTTATGACAAAAAAAGAAGCCAAATAGCAACATTGTTATAGAAGTTTTCATATATGAACATTGAACACCCAAACAAGAACCACCAAGTATAATGCCCAATGTATAGGCACTATATGACCCAAACATTAAAAAAGTAAAGACTCAAGTTGCAAGATTAAAAAAGAAAATGTTCTTTGAAGATTAAAACATAAAAGATTGATATAGATGCATATGTAATGCCAACAACTCTTTGCCTTAAAATGCCATTCTCCCTTCTTTCTTCATTCTCACAAGAGACTCCAGAAACTCTTTCACCTGTCAATATTTTTTTTACCCATCAGATGAAATCACAAGATTGAGAAATTATAATAAAACATAATACCAAAAAAAAAGATAAAAGTAAAACTCCCCGTGTTACCTGTGAAGTATTGTTGAGAGAAAAGAAAGCTTTGCTTTCCTTGGGAGCCGCCGATACCAGAATTCCATAACCTCGGTTTCCATCTCGCAAGACCTTAAATGCACGAAACACGAATAAATGTGCATTTTAGTCATGTTACTAGAAATTGAATCCAAATCTTTATATAATTTTTTTTTGCCAAACATAGCTTTAGCCTTAAAGATTACCTTGAAGGCATCTTCATCTGTTCTGTCATCTCCAATATAGAGCGCAAGCACATCCTCATTGTCGCCGAGACCTACATTGTATATATGCATATATATTCACTATATAGTCTTAAAAGATGTTCTTATTTTAACTCATTTATGTTTTGTCTTCAAATAGAACGAACAAAAGTTACGAACCGAGAGACTCCAGCAGGAAGTTTACAGCTTTTCCTTTGTCCCAATCGATATCCGGACGGATTTCTAAAACCTGTATAGAAAAAAATAATTACGATCATACTTAATGTAAAGAGAACAACAAACAAGAAATTCAGTCTCATAAGGAAAGAAAGCATTGATTATGACCTTCCGTCCATGAGTTAGGATAAGTCTGGGGTAACCCTTCAAGACATCATGGACAATTTGCGCAACCAAAGGCCAACGCTAATGTCAAATTGACAAAACAAACAAACGAACAAACCGTTAGTGTTTACAAAACAAAAACCAAACGAAGAGTTTCAATGCCATGGTAACTCTCTCACCTTTCGAACAACATTGCGGTAATGAACAGATGCACAAAACTTGTGGTTATCAACACTAGATCCTTCTATATATTGAGTTTTCTCCGTTAGGATTTCAAAAACCTGCAAGAAGTATATGGATTAGAGAGACCGAGCTGCAATTTATAGTTCCATTGTTTCATAGAAGCCAAACCACACACCTCCTTGATCAGTGGTATGAACTCGCGAGCAGGCTGGAACACACAAACTTCCTCTCCCTGTTCATAACAGTTGATATTTCAAATTAAGTCACACAAACACACACACAAAAGAATCATTCTTTGTCACAAAGAAATGTGATTCATGTTCAAAGTGGATATGAATTTATAAGCATGCAAGGAAACAAGAAAGGTTGGTACAATTTCGTTGGTGGACTTTATGCAATTTGGGTCGATATACGAAACTTCGTTTTTGGCAGGAAACATGATGTCCATGCCATGGCTACCAGCATAATATAATTCACTTAGTCCCACCAACTCAGAAACCTGGGAATATATATATACATATACAAGCAAAGAAATGTCAATTCGTATTAAAATTACTTGAATGTAAACTCCCACCAACACAAACATATTTTCCCCCATTTTTATGGTCTCATTTTCTAAAATGAATAAAAATGAGTGAAACGATTTACCTTGTCCCGGTTTCTGCCACTGATGATTGCTGTTGGGAAATGCAATGCAGTGTTTTTTACAGCAGCCCGCATCTGTAATAATTTGGTTAGGATACTTAGACTGCGAAACAATGCTATAATGGGAAAAATTTATTATGATAATACTCACTTCATCTGACATAAAAGCGCGGTTAGGGTCATCAACAATGGGAGAAAGTGTTCCATCATAGTCCAAGAATACCACAATCCTCTTATTCCTTGCTTGGTTGAGAATATATTGGCACGACGTAAGGGCAGATGGATACTTCGTCTGCACAAAAATTGGTGATAAATTGAACAAGGCATTGCCAAGAACTTGAACTTTGATAACAAAATAGGAAATACAATTGATATCAGTGTTTCTTTCAGTTCATGAAAGGGAAACAGAATCTTGAGAGTAATTGGAAATAGCAATTTGTTCATTTAATTGTTTTCAAAACGTATATTCGGATTTGTTTATAAAACATATAGTTTTCTATAAAAACAGGGTGTTTACATAGTAATAATGTTGTTTTAGCCTTGCCATTTTTAGAATTGATATAGCTTCATGTCTTGAGTTCAAAACCACAAATTTTGAGTGAGAAATTGGAAGTTCCTAAGAACTATAAATAAGAAAGAGAATCACGGGACCTTAGAGACACGCGAAGATAGATATGTGTGAAACAATGTAAAACGACAAATATTTTGAAATGAATCAGGTAATATGCATGGAAAACAGATCTAGCAACTGCCTCATTTTAGAAATTTGAACCGAACAAAGACAATTATTGCAAACAAAGTGCAGAAAACAAGAAACTGTCAACAAACGAAGCATAAACACAACGAAAAAGGTAAAAAAACATTACCATCCAACGGACATACTCGACATCAGCTTCATCATAACCAGCCTCCGCGCTCAAATCCTTCAAAACCCTCCTGCGAGGAGGCGAAGAAGATATCATCCTATCAAGCCACCCATTGAAACGGACGTCATCAAGTTTCCCACGTTTTTTCCTTTGGGTTGGGATCCTGGAAGTGGCAAATGGTGTGCTCGATTTCGCACAAGCAGAAGGAATCCCCCGCCTAGACGTGTTCGCTGGTGGAGGGTCAGCAAGAACAGGGGAAGCGGTTGCCGAGTTCAACTCCATTGGTAACAAACACTTGCAAATTTCTCTAGCAATCTTTTTGTACTTTAAATGGCAAACCTTCTAGCAAACTAATAATTATGTATGTTTATCCAACTCTTTTATCAATGAAAAACCACCTTTTCAATGTCTTCTTATCACTGCAGCTGATTGAACAGTCCATGAAGCAAAAGTTCTGAGAAATCTGTCAAAACAACACATATTACTTCATCAATTTTAGTACAACTAATCTCTTGATCAACACAAGCATTCATAAAATGAATCAATATGGTACCTCATCTCCAATGACAACCCGCATTTAAACGAAGCAAGCCATTGTTGATCGATGAATCTAAGTACCCATCACAAAAGAAAGAAAATTAAAATCTTGACTTGTGACAAATGACAATGCAGAGATGAAGGAGAGAGGATCAATTAAAAACACAGTTTTTGTAACAAGAACTAGTAAGACTTGAGAGTTTAGCATCCGATACAAGGCCTTTATATAGTGGTTTTGAATCCAAGAAATTGACTCAGCAAATAACATATCACATGTAAGCCCATGAATCAGCATTAAAGAGGAGTCCGTTTTAACTGTGAGCTGATAATGACGCGTATTAATTTAATATTTTCATGTCTGACCCCAGATTAAGAATTGGCTGAGTCAGATCACCATAGACACCCAGAGAGAACAAGAAAACTGTGTTAAAGAAGCTGTTCAAGATTAACAATCGGCTGAGTCAGGCTGAGTCAGATCGTCATCACAGACCCAGGAAAATCCGGGTTAAAGACGTCGTTCCAAAAACTCTGACGCGTTCCAGCCTAAAAGACACGCAGAAAGGAGAACGAAACGGAAACCCATTGCAGAAAACCCGGCGGGCGTTGCAACCGTTTCGATTTAAAACCCAAACAACAAAAACCCAAAATAAATTTCGACCCAGAAGGAAAAAAAGGCGAGATCTTTGAGCATTCATGGCTTTCTCGGAGGAAACCCGGAAAAAAGCGGGTCACTTTCCATGGTTGCAATGCGGGAAAAGGGGATCGGGGTTGCATGAAAAAACAGAGGGGGGAAATAAAGGGATTAAATACCTTCCGATCTGGAGCAGAATCGCCCAGAAACCAGAAAGCCCTTTTGAGTTAAAGAAACAGGGCTGAAAAAACAGAGACTGGACGAAAAACCAGGGGAGAAAGAGGAGGAAGAAGAAGAAGAAGAGAGGAAGAGGGTAGAAGGGGCGAGAATTTATAAAGATTTAGAGGGCGAAAAAGACGTGCCAAACAAGAAAACCGGTTGCTCTACAGTCTACAGTCCACCCTCCCCCGGTTGTTGAATTACAATCTAGAAGAAACATTAACCTAATCATCATGTAACAGTCGGTTCGGCTTTTTTTTTCTTTTCTTCAGTCTTTTTTTTCTGAAAAAAAAAATTAAAAACTACTCCCTCTCTCTCTTAAAAAATTTTCCATTTTGACTTTTAAATAATTTAAGGAAAGTATATTTTGGTGTTGATTTTCCAAAAATGCCCTTTGATGTGATGAATAAAATAGGATGTGATGGGTAGATTAATAGAGAAAATGTGTGATGTGATAGGTAGGTTAAGAATTAATAGATGTAAAAGTAATTTTTTAATAGGAAAAGAGAAGTGTTTTTTTGGAACGAATGAAAAAGGAAAATAGAAGGGTTTTGTGGGACGGATGAAGTAAAAGTCTTATTCAATTTATTGAAGAAGCCATTTAACTTTAGGTTTGATTCAATTAGAGTGGTAATATATACAGTTAGATAAAAATTGAATGAGCGAGTTAATTCTAAACAAGCTTCAATTTAAGTAGTGTAACATATAGTGAGAGAAACACACCCTCATGTGCAAGTAAGATATATTTTTGCTCAAACCTTGCACGTGAAATTAATATTTTAAAATTGGGTGACAATGAGGTTTGAGTTCGTGACAACCTGATCATCAAAGATCTGATATCATGTCAGAGCTTCTGGCTATGGTCCAAGAATTTTTTTTATATTCTAACAACTACTCCGTATTACTTAACAAAAATTACTAGATACTCATACAACGACGGGCACTACATATGACAACTTTGTGAATTTGTTGCATACATGTGTTAATCATTTGTGAACTCTGTGTGTTCTTAATTAGATGATTACTCGTATATATGCGTGCATAGGAATTCACGTATATATGATTGTCATCGGTGGCATCAACATAATAGGTTTCTAGCATGACTCTTTTTTAAAATGAAAAATGTTCGAAATCCATATGGTTTGACACCAAGAATTTGATCACACTAAATTATGTTACAAATAGGTACAAACAATGATTTTCATGCATTATAGAAATAAATATTTGTATATGATAGTGTAAATATAACTAGGTAGGTTGACCGGATATGACATGGACACACTCTACTCGTAGTAAACACACACAATCAGAACACAAAGTATGACCTAGATTGGGTAAAACTCCTCAGTCCGAATTATATTTTTTACACTATCTCAAGAGTGTTTTTTTAGTGAGATAAAGGTTGGATCCCATCCTCTATCCATAATTAACATATTTATAGAGGAGAGTGTGTGACCTTTCCCTGTTCACCCGTAGACAAAATAGGAAACAAGCAGGAAGGTCACTGTAGTTAATGGAAGCACTGTACAATCAATGACTTTAATAGCTACAAGCCAAGACATTATTCAATCAATGACTTTAAGGTAGATCTTCCCTAGCCAATCAACCCTGCAAGATGACAAACATTATTTTTACTGTATATCTCGTGATGGATGAGCGGCGAGGTGGTCCCCTGTCCTCTGATGCTGATTGTCATGCTTGGGAGGGTGATTGAACATTAGCTAAGTAGAAGAATATGACCAATAACATTTCCTCGAAGGCCGACCGATCATTTCTTGAGCCCAACCCGTCTCCTTGATCTTCCAGAATGTTCTTCGTAACATTAAGTGACATTTTGGCTATCGCCCAAAATGTGACCGGTCACTTTTTTAAGAAAAGTGACCGGTCAACTTTTGACTCGTCTTAATCGAAGAGTTTGTCTCATTTTTCGTAACTGAAGAAAGTGACCGGTCAACTTTTTGACATGTCCCTTTCAGAAATTCGGGCCGGATATAAGGATATACCCATCAGTATGTAAAACACTTGGTGTCGAATTAACCTAGTCAATTTCTTGCATGACTATGAGTTAAGGACGCTCTCAAAAAAAATATCCAAAGTACGGGATGAATCGAAACTCATTCTCCAAACATCCATATCGACATTTGTACTCTTTTAAATTGGTAAAGCCAAAATTGACAAACGAGTAGGTAAGATAAGTCTTGTTTAATAATAACATTTTTAATTAACGTTAGTTTCAGGATGTTTTTTAGTATTGTAGAATTAAGCTTAACTTTTTAGATGTTTTTTTATTGACACGTGTTTCTCTTATTTTCAACTAATATCTTTGAGATTATACATTATTGAACTTTATTTTTTAAAAAACAGGAAAAAACATACTTAATCCTATACTTGTTTTACTTCTTTTTAGGAAGAAGCGTCTAAAAGTTTTAAAATATCTTTAAAAGGTATGGAGAAAAAAAGAAAAGTATTGAAGTAGAGGATTAATAGATTTTCTCTATTTCTTTTTTTTTTTCAAAGCTACAACCTGTATTTATTTAACTAAATTGAACTTTTGTTTTGTTTTTTCTTTTTTTTTCGAAAATAAAATTTCAAAACGTGGGAGTAGAAGGAAGTCACTCCATATTTTTTTCATATCTAATATTCGAGCCTCAGCTCACCCTTGCGGTCAAGATCGATGTTAAGATTATAAGATTAAATAAAAATAAATTGAACTGAAATACTTTTGTAATGTAAATTAAAATTAAAATGGTTGTTATGAAAAAATGTGGTTTGTCTACACTACCCTCATATGAAATAAACTAAAAAATAAATTATGTGCCTACCAATGAATTTTAAAATCATTGAAATTTTTATATACTACACCCGTTTTAGAGTATTTGTCTAGCTTTGATTTCTTTGCAATCAACCACTTTCAGTATTTGACCTTAATTAAATAAAAAATATATGATATATTAATTGGATAAAACAAAATTTCGAAAATACTTTATAAAATAAATCTAATATAATTATTTTTGTATCAAAATTTGATACTCTCCCCGACCAAATTTAAGTTGTTTGTTTACTATTCTGTGCATCAAATTTTAATCAATTTTTTAACCATTTTCATTATCCATTTGATAAATTAATATAGTCATATCACTTTTTATCTTGTAGAACTTTTTATATAGTTCTTAAATATATAAATTATATTTTTAAATACAATCCCAAATTTCATATAAACTTATTTGAAAATAACTTCAGTAAAACATCGTAAACAACAACAACAAACATCTTGAAATAAGATGGAGGCTAGGGAGTGTTATTTTTATTTGATAAGTGGTTGAAATTTGTCAAATCTTAACAAAAAAATCAAAACCGTGCAAATACTATAAAACAGATGTAGTATTATAGAAGTCATATTAATTACTTCGTATTTAAATGTGTGTTAAAGAGTACAAAAAAACTTCCTTTATCCATAAAAGTCATTCAGATTTTGGCTTTAATTGATTTAAGAAAAGGGTTATTTTATAATGACTTTCCTAAATTACTTTTGATGAGATAGATAAAGTATGATATGATGGTATATTATTAATAAAAAAAGTAATATATTGAAATTAGTAGGGATAAATATAATTTTTACTCTCTCCGTCCCTAAATATAGTACAATTTTTTTTCTCTCCTCTCGATAACTTTTGTTTCTTTACGCGATTTCATTAAGTATTTGATAAAATAAAATATTCTTGTCACATATTATTTTGTACTTCCTCCGTTTCTCAAAAGAATTTCTCTTTTGACTTTGGGGGAAAATAAGGAAGTGTTAAATTGTAGTTGACTTTCCAATTTTGCCCTTGATGTGATGGGTAAAACTGTAAAAGTAAGATGTGATAGTTTAGTTGTTAGTGAAAAAGTATAATGTGATAGGTAGAGTATGAAAAAGTAGGGGTAAAAGTGGTTTTTTAATAGAAAAAAAGTGTTTTAAGAAAAACAAAAAAAAATAAAAGAGGAAGGGTTTTAAGAAACGGAGGGAGTAGAACTTTTGACGTAATTTTTTAATATGTAATTTTTATATTTTATTGATATACCAATTTGTAAATAAAATAATTTCAAAAAGTAAAAAATTTTACTCCGTAACTCGCAATTTGTAATCAAATTGGGGACGGAGTGAGTAATAAAAAAGGAAAAAAAGAATTTTGAGGTGACAAAAAAAAAAAAGAGAAACAGAGAGAAGTAAATAAAAAACAAGCCGCCTTGTTTTACCAGAAATGTGGGGAGTAGGAATATTACTGCAAATTTCTTAATAAGTAAGGAAAGTGTTTGGTACAATTTGCACCAAATTTGGAAATTGCTATGAAACCCGTGGGCGATTTTTTTTTCTCTTTTTCGAACCGTCAATATTACCAACCCCATCCCACATGAACTACTTCCATTACTGAGTAGGGAGTATTTGTCTAATTTAATTCTTTGTAGTTAATTATATTCAATATTTGATTTATAGTTAGGTAAAATTATACTCCATTTTATATTAATTAAATAAACTTTTTTTGAAAACATTATATAAATGAATCTAATAAAATTATTTTTGTATCAATATCTAATATCACTTTTATTTAATTTATGGTCAAAATTTGTCTCTTTTGACTAAAAAAGTCAAAACTAGACTAATACTCAATGAAGGAATAAGTATATATTTTTTTGTTAGGCTATTAGAGCACTGACAGTGGCAAGTATTGCAATGGAATGCCATGGGATGTCATTCCATGGTTTGCAATGGCAAGTCACTCCAATTGTGGCGTGGCACGGCAAAATTGCATATTTAGGGTGGCAAGTGGGTGGCGATTTTCCAGGATCGGCCGGCGCATTCCGACAGGTGATTTTTCAGGATCGGCCGGCGATTTTCCAGGCGGCCGGCAATTCCGCACTCCGAAAGGATCAACTGGCGATTTCGCACAGGGGGAGAGGAGAGATCACGACGATTGCTGACGATAGTCACACCGGCGAAGGCGAACAGATGGGCGGGAAGGTGGACGATAGGTGGGGTGGTGTGGCCGGTGATGTTTGGGTGTGGATTGGGGTTGCGATTACGGCGGCGAAGGGATTGGGGTTT